AAACAGATGATATCGGTATCGGGGCCAAAAAATGGCATCAGAGCAACACTAATAAAAACCATTTCCCCTGTTTTTGTTAGATTTTTTTTAACCTATTTAAATCCAGAAGCTTGCTTTCAAACCTGAGTGCTTCCATTTTATCTGACGTTGGTGCAGATCATGAGGAAACGGTCCTTGCTGACACCAGAGGAGAGTAAACCATTCTACTCTTGCCTTTCTATACCAGCATTTTAAAAAGCATCCACCACCATTAAACAATTTTGTTTTCAAATCAAAATAAAACTTGAATAACTTGAGCTTTTTTTGCTGTATATTTGTCCTATTGATGTTAAATAATAGTATTATCACTAACCAGAATGATTAAAACAAACTGCTCCTTAAATGTTGGTATTATAATAATTTCTTTCTGGGGTTTCAAACCATATGAGGTCTCTGCTTTCTTTTTTACTTTCACTTTGTTGTTTTTGAGCAGTGGAACAAATAATTTTGTGACTTGAAAAGCTTTTGTAACTAAGATTCATGTTTTACAGGGGAAAGAAAAGAAAGAAATCTCTTTTTTTTTTTGTAGAGTTGTAGTCTCTGAAGTCCTTTCTGTGTCTTTGTGTCGCTGATTGACCCACAGACCTTCTGAAATCCTGGTGGTGGATCTGTCCTGCAGTTGAAACCATAGGCACATGTGGGGGATTTCTTTGCCTTAAAAATATCCCAGAAGTTTCGCTGTCAATATTATTCCTGACTTCTTACATTTATATGAACAAATTTAACCTTTTTATTGTATTTTAGGGGGGGGAAACATATTTTAACACTGTATTGATCACCCTGTCTAAGTTTACATTTATCATGAAAGAGTTTTTTTTTTCTTTTCCAGTTTCTATTGTAATTAAATCTTGGAGTAAAATGTAAGGAAGCTATTTTTGTACACTACAAAGATGCCATGTTTTGTAACAATTAAATGCTCATTAAGGACTTTGAGCTACAGGCAGTCTGGACTACACTGCATATACTGCATTAATAAATAAATGTATGCAATATTTCTGACTCCTTTCTCTGGTCTGTGGAGCACAGGAGTCTGGGTTTCCTTTAAGCATCTTCATAATTCTGGAACAAGAAAAAAAGACTATTACCTTTACTCTTACAAAACCTTTCTGCACTGGAAAAACTATCTAGAAGTAAGTAAAAAATTCTTACATTAAGTGTATTTATCCTTAATTTGAGTAGGTAAATTAGATAGTTTGCCAATACGATGAGTATTTTTACTTATAAATAATAATATATTATTATTTTAAATGTAAATTATCTTGTTCCTTTGGCAAAATGTCTTTTTTTACCTCCTCAATCCAAGAACAAATGCACTTATTGTAGGAAAATTTTTTTTTTTTTTATTCTTTTATTTTATATACTCTAGTAATCCCAGAGGGAAATTACTTCTCTGCATTTAACCCATCCCCTTGGGGAGCAGTGAGCTGCCATTGTGCGGCGGTTAAGGGTCTTGCTCAGGGACCCAGAGTGGCAGTCTGTGGGAGTCTGGGGGATCGAACTCACAATCTCAGGATTCAAAGCCCTATGCCCTAACCTACGGAAGAGGATTAGGGACACTGGAAAAAAAAAAAAAAAAAGTGAACTGATTTTTACATTTTATTTCAGTTTAGTATGGGGAAAAAAAAGTCAGAATTCTGACTTTAATCTAAGAATTCTGCCTTTTTTCTGAGAATTCTGCCTTTTTTTCTCAGAATTCTGACTTTCATCTCAGAATTGTGGATCTATGTAGATGGGCACCATGAAGGAAGAGTGTCAGTGAGCACTCGGCTTCACTGACAATGATGTGAGTTGTTTAAGAGGGCCAGTGACACATTGGTGGAAAATGATGGAATTAGGCAACTTTTTACGTGCCCGAGGGGTCCCCTCCTTAATGGAGGAGCAGAAGGTCATTAAACCAAGAGAGCTAGTCTCTAAAACAGACATGGCTATGGCTTGATGCTAACATGTTTGTTATCTGTCAGAATTCTGAGATTAAAGTCAGAATTCTGACTTTTTTCCCCATGTTAAACTGAAATAAAATTTAAAAATCTGTTAACTTTTTTTTTTTTCCAGTGGCCCTAATCGTCTTTCGTACTAACCACTAGGCCGCCAATCCCAAAAATGACTCCTCTAGAATTCGATTTTGTTCCAGTGTTCCACTTTCTCTCAGATTCTCTGTCCTTTTTTCCTTTATTTTCCACTAGCCTCGCCTTGGAAGGTCTTTCAATTATTTTTTTCTTTTAATGTCTTACCTCTGCCTCCTGTCTTTCCTTCATCTGGACTCAAATCCTACCTTCATTCCTCTTTCCTTTCCTTTGTTCTTTCCTTGTGTCCTTTGTTACTTCCATATTTTCCTTCCTTGCTACTGTGGGAGTGGTGGCCCAGTGGTTCGGGAATAGACCTTGGAATCCTGAGGTTGTGAGTTTGAGCCCCACTCCCACAGTCTGCCAATCTTGGGCTCTGAGCAAGTTCCCTAACCCCACGCTGCTCCCAGAGTGCTGCACAATGGCAGCCCACTGCTCCCCATGGGGATGGGTTAAATGCAGAGGTACATTGCTCCAATGTGAGATCAATAAAATTCAAGTTCAATTATTAACCCAACCTCAAGGAAAATGACTAGTATTGGTAAATTGTGTTTTATACGTTGTTTCTAGTTGAATCTCCTTGTTAAGCTCCCTCAAGTCGATTCAGTTTATTTGGGAAGCATCTCTCCTACAGAGGTTTAATTAATTTGGGATAAATGTCCTCTTCATACAGCTGGGACATTTTACCCCAGTCTAAAGACTTGAAACAACCTTCTATATTTCCCATGACAATCTCCTCAGTGATCCAGTTTTCTCCACTGAAGATGAGCAGAGACAACAATTAGGATTTGATTTTTTTAAGAGTCTGAAGATTTTTAATCTTGAAATCTGCAACCGAAAACATCAGAGATGTATCATGAAGAAAGTTACATGCAGCGCTGCCATCAGCTGATCTTGAAATGCATAGGTTAGGATTGAAAACTATGGTAAACTTTCTAGGTAAATAATAATATGCATGAGATCTTGCTGCAAATGGTTTTAAATCTGAGATATTTTACCGCATGTGACGATTTCAACCAACCCTTTTCTTTTGCTCTGATGTTTAAAAAGCCTGAGAGTGGGGTGTAGCAGGGGATTTGATCCAGTGAAATGCTGAATTTTGCTGCTCCTTAGTGCTTGAAGGTAATCCACAATGCATAAAATGTATATCTAAGTCAATGTATCTTAAAATAAGAATTAAGCAGGTAAGTGAGACACTTTGCAAATGGAACAACACAATTTACATTTAAAATAAGGAAACACAGCTGCATGGTCTTATTTCAAGTGCATATTATCTTATTTGAAGGGTAAAATGCTTATTCCATTGGTAGATAATCTGAAATTAAGGGTAAATAATAGTGGTGCACTGATGCCAATACCAGTATCGGGCGGGACCCGATCCAGCTCCAAAATGGTGGTATTGGTATCGGCCAGTACCAACAAAAAGGGCACGGATGTCATTTTGAGAGCCAAAAGATTAATAGTCAACTATTGTCACGCATTCCAGGTAGGCAATAAAAAGTTCTACTGGATTCACTTTGTTTTAGTCTTTTTCCTGCTTCACAAAGGTAGACAACAACTTGACAAAGCCATGATGGCAATTATTTTACATCCAAGTAGTATACAGTTCTTCATATAATAGGGTGACCAGACGTCCTCTTTTTCCCGGACATGTCCTACTTTTCATACCTAAAAAAATGTCTGGTGGGAATTTCAAACCATCCGGGATTTTGGTCGACTACAGTGCAGCAGAACCGAGCCGTCAGCACCGCGGTGAAGTTGGTTTGAAGTTGGGTATTTGATATTCAAGCTCCGCAGAGTCAGCGGGATCTAGCAAACGGTTGATCCGACTGAGGGACTCCGATGTCGGCAAGCGTCTCTCAGCAGCTCCCACATGCAGGGAGCATCTGTTAGGGACCGTCAACAAATCTTTGAACCAAGCACCCTTGAGAAACAAAGATCAATAAATTCTGTATCTTATGACCAGCTAAGACGAAACTAATATAAAATAATGCCAAAAGATAACATATAAAAGGCACAATCGCTGTTATGCAATTTGAAGCTATTTTTAATTTTTAAGATATTTTTAAAAACATAAGTTTGGACTTTTCTTCAAGCCCTTTGATCATTTTTAAAGATTTTTGTAATAAAAAAAAATGTGATATTTCTTCAATAGCTTCCAGGTCATGTGACCGACTGACTCAAAATTCTTTGTGAAATTGTTTTACTACATTAGCCTAATGAGGGACACTCATTTTTATTCCATTTTAGTCCTTTGTCACCGGGTCGTGTTCAGTTACTCTGTCCCCCGGCTCGTTTTGAATGCCCAGTCCGGTCCAGTCAGCGACCCAGCAGACCCCCTCCATAAAAAACCCCACTAAAATAAAAAATAGATCTGGTCACCCTATCATATATACACATCAATTTCAAACAGGTGGTATCAGTATTGGCCAATACTGCACAGCCAGGTATCGGTTATCGGTATCGGGGCCAAAACATGGCATTGGTGCATCACTATTTAATAACTTATTTTAAGAAATTTTTGCTCATTTAAGAACTTTTTTGCAGTGCAGTCTGTTTGACAAAGATCATACATGAACAAAGTTGGGAAAAGAGGTTTGTATGCATTTGAGATGTTACCCGGTTGTTATAAGATGAATAAAAATAAATAAATAATAGAGTACATGCAGAAATCATTCCAATTGCTCAGCATCCATAAGGGATTTAATTCTCCCTAAAAACAAACGCATAACAGAAATTCCGGGCTTCCATCTTGTTAAATAAAAGCGACTAAATATATTTTTGAAATATTTTTTGTGCGTATGAATCAATATTTTGGGGATATCTCTTGATTCTGGTGGATTTTTTTTTTTAGCTTCGTGGGAGGCGTGGATGATACCGCTGCGTGGATTTCCCGGATGAAGCAGCGACGCCATCTTCACGCCTCTGCTCACCGGCTGCTCTTCGGCTCAGCGGAGCGACAGAGCTGTAGCTGATCCACCAGCAGGACGCTGCAAGCAGCCCGATAATCCCCCCACCCCACCCCCTGTTTTCCACCGGGACGCTAAAGCAAACCCTCCCCGCTACCTGAGCACCATGACGGACCGGGACAACTTGGTGTACCAGGCGAAGCTGGCCGAACAGGCGGAGAGATACGACGGTAAGGCTGGGGGGGGGGGGGGGGGGGACACATCGTTACTAATAACGGTCACTTCGGATTGCTGCGGCCGCCGCCTGCCTGTCTCCATGCGCAGCGCAGGGGGGCTTGGAGCCGCAGGTACACCGTTCACATGGATCTGTTGGCTGAGGGGGCACAAAATGGCGGAGGGTTTCCCTGCCTAGTAAACCAACATCTTTAGCGGATACTAACCGGTTCCAGTCCCAACAGAAAGTAGGGACTGTTTGCCGAAAGCGTCCCTCTATCGGTGCTTCTCTAACCGGCGAACGTTTTATGTTAAAGCCGCGGGGCTAAGCTAACATAACGCTAGTTAGCTAATGCTAACTAGGTGGTTAGCCCATTCTCAGTCCTGAGATTCCATCTCCAGGTCTAATAAACCCATTTACACACTTTTCAGATAATAACTCCCTAGAAAATAATGTTAAGATATAAAATAAAGTAACTGTCTACGTCACTGCAGCAAGCAACGCTTAATTCCTCCGAAGCTGACTCAACTAAAACACAAAAATCAAGACTAGTCCTTTAATTCAAGAGTAAATTCTCTCTGTACTGCAGGTAGAAAATTAAGACCACTTAATTTTGTAAGCAATAAAAAAAAAGTCGTGTCCCTAATCAAGCAATTTTACCTTAAAGTAAATTAAATACCTTTCATATGATCTATGGGGTCTAAATTAAAGTGCCTACAGTGTTTAAAAAGCTCTTCTGTCCAGATTTCTGGCCCATAACAGTCTCTGTTTTTGTACCGCACTGCTGCCATTATTTGAAAGCAAAGTTTTTGTCTATTGGAGTGGGTTTTTTTTCAGATTAAATGAGTATGAAAAAAATGACATGTTTACTATCAGATCTTCCTCCCTGTCCCATTGTCTGAAGCATTCATCCATTCATCAGGAGGAAAAACAGGCATCCCTCTTTTTCCTGCACCACTCCTCAACTCATTCCTTTAGATCCCAGGACATTCTCTGACTGGATAGGACGCAAAATCCCACAAATAATTTTCTAAGATTTCCCCTCAGGTCTTATTCTAGTAGAATCTGATGGAAACTTTTCCACTAGGATGCATCCAGAAGGCTCTGCAGGCTGATATCGGTCTGCAAGGAGCGCCACCATAATGGATGGTAGCCGAGGAGGGTGATACAGATTATTTGAATTTTATCCTTGTTATGGGAGTGTGGTCTAGCGGTAAGGGGATTGCACTTGGAATCCAAAGGTTCTGAGTTTTATTTTTATTTTTTTCAGCTTTTATTGTCATTACACTGTCAAAAGTTCAGAGAAATGAAATGAACTCTCTGCATTTAACCCATCCCCTTGGGCACAGTGGGCTGCCATTGTGCGGCGCCTGGGGAGCAGTGTACGGGTTAAAGGTCTTGCACTGGGGCCCAGAGTTGCAGTCCGTGGGAGTGGGGCTTGAACTCATAGTTCCAAGCACAATTCCCTAACCCGCTAGGTCACCACTCCTACAGTCGGAGGTCCCTGAGCAAGACCCTTAACCCCACACTGCTCCCCAATGGGATGGGTTAAATGCAAAGTTCATTTCTTTGCTTTGTACTCTTAACAGAGTAATGACAATTTTTAAAAAGCTGGAAAAAAGAAAAGCTGATCAAAATTAACGATGTAGCTTTTAATTTGACAGTTCATCACTGGAACTCCTGTGATAAGGAACATTTAATTTACCTTTGTTTGATTAAATTATTGCATGAAAGGTTATTTTTTTGCACATAATTTAAAGTTGACAGACTGATCAGTTGTCTCATAAAACTGGCAGTGAAGATGGGTTTACCTTTCAAAAGCAAATGAAAATAAAGAAGTAATTAATGATAGATAATCTTAGGAACAGGTTTTAGGCCTTGTTGAATTGTTCCAGTATTTTCCTGCCGTGTTCCAGATGACCACAGCTCAGCAGAAACTCCTCCACGCTGCTCTGACTCAGCTGCTGATCTTCAGATATCGAACGGGCAGGCTGAGAGGGAAAACGTCCAGACCATGTCCACCCAGGAGATGGCTGGAACGTTTAAGACCGCTATTTTTTTTCCCCTCCTCTTGCTGTCTGCCTCCTGTTCTTGGGATGGTTAAAAGCACTGATAGCGGTAATAATCTGCTCACCCTTCAGTGGGGTTCTCACAGCCCAAAGAATGCATTAAGTGACTTTTTCCCACAACAAGAATCCAGCAGGTTTGCATTTTCCACATATTTCAGTGCAGCTGCCGCTGTTGATTGTAGGCAGGGATTAAAATTTAAAGTTTTTGCCATTAGATCAGTTTGTTTTGGGTGAGGATCAACAGTCTTTGACCCAACTGGAGCATCCTTGGTTCAGAACATACTGTTTCTGTTCCGTAAAAATTAAAAAAATATCCACTGGACTTGGTTTTCAAGATTTGAAGACGTTTCGCCACCTCTCCAGGAAGCTTTCTCAATTCAAATGTCTGGATCCGCAGTGAGTTTGAGTCTTATATAGACAACGCCTTGTATCGCTTGGAAACATGCAATAGAAACCGATGAATGGGTCGTTAGTTCCATCGTTAGCCTGTAATATCTGAAACTGTCTATGATTCTAGGGGTCGGTCGTTAAAGGGGGGGATTGTCATTAAGGGGGGGATTGTCTCCTGTAATACCTGAAACCTGTCTATGATTGTTAAGGGTTGGTCGTTAAGGAGGTATTGTTCACCGGCTGGAGCGGGTAAGTCCCTTGTTCCTCTGTGATGGGGTGGGGGGGTTTGGTGATATCTGGAAGGGATCATGTCTATGATTGAATTGTATGTTTTTGGAAGCTGGAATCTCAGTCCACCACCTCTGTTTAAAGTTGGTTTTTCTCTCTTAACATAGATGGCTTCCTTCACGCCCCTCTCAAACCACCTATTTTCTTTATCCAGAATATGGACATTCTGGTCCTCAAAAGAATGTCCTTTGTCCACAAGGTGTAGGTGTACTGCAGAGTCTTGTCCAGAGGTGGCCGCTCTTCTGTGTTGGGCCATGCGTCTGTGGAGAGGTTGTTTGGTTTCTCCAATATAAAGATCAGAGCATTCATCACTGCACTGAACAGCATATACCACTCCGCTCATATTTGGTCTGGGGGTTTTATCTTTCGGATGCACTAGCCTCTGTTTAAGGGTTTGGTTTGGTAAGGAAGCCATCTATGTTAAGAGAGAAAAAACAACTTTAAACAGAGGTGGTGGACTGAGATTCCAGCTTCCAAAAACATACAATTCAATCATAGACATGATCCCTTCCAGATACCACCAAACCCCCCACCCCATCACAGAGGAATGAGGGACTTACCCGCTCCAGCCGGTGAACAATACCTCCTTAACGACCAACCCTTAACAATCATAGACAGGTTTCAGGTATTACAGGAGACAATCCCCCCCTTAATGACAATCCCCCCTTTAACGACCGACCCCTAGAATCATAGACAGTTTCAGATATTACAGGCTAACGATGGAACTAACGACCCATTCATCGGTTTCTATTGCATGTTTCCAAGCGATACAAGGCGTTGTCTATATAAGACTCAAACTCACTGCGGATCCAGACATTTGAATTGAGAAAGCTTCTTGGAGAGGTGGCGAAACGTCTTCAAATCTTGAAAACCAAGTCCAGTGGATATTTTTTTGAATTTTTACGGAATGACTATGACCTGGATGACTGAGAACCTTCATCAGCATACTGTTTCTGTGTTTAGATGTTGGATCAAAACTTTAATTGTTGTCCTAAGTCAGGGGCCGGCAACCCAAAGTGCTCAAAGAGCCATATTAGACCAAAAAAAAAAAAATGAATCTTTCTGGAGCTGCAAAAATGTAAAAATAATTTTTTATGCCTTGTATGGCATTATGTATTATCCCTCTATAGAAAAGGACTACATGGGCTTTAATATACACGCTGGTTGCAAGTTATGAACACTGATCTCTATGGCAATGATGCAAATTATTGTTTAAATGTATTTATTATACAAATGTTTACAGCATTGGAAAACATGATTGATTTTTGTTTGACCTCCTGCACACCATACAAAAAAAAAAAAAAAATTGCTTTTCATACATTTTTAAAAAAGCTCCAGGGAGCCGCAGAGAGGGGGTGCTAAAGAGCCGCTTGTTGCCGACCCCTTTCCTAAGTGTTTGGCTCAACTCTGTGTTTTCCATCCCTGGATGACGTTAGAGTGGAGCTGATTGTTCATAGTGTGATTTTTAGAGGTGAAGGACAAGTGGTGGAAGCTTTACAGGCTCTACTGTGGATCTGGTTTCATCATTACCGGGTTGGTGGCGTTGGATGTCACCTGGATGGTACCGGACAGATTCTAACCTAACCTAAATAAAGGTCGCGCACTTGTGTGTTTGTGGCAGACGGGGAAGAGTGTTTCCAGAGACTTATTTCCTCAGTATTGATTTGGAGAGCCTAGTAAAGGAGAATTAGGTTGCAGGACTACTACACTGTCTAGAAATGTCATATTTTCTCTAAAAAAGACAAATTGTCAGAATTAGTTGCTTAGATGTCTGTTTGAATTAAGGCTACTAATGATTATTTTGATAATGATGAATCTGTCCATTATTTTTTGATTTATTGATCAAATATTGGATGGCAAAAGGTTCCTTAAAGAAGATTTTATACAGAATTAAACCAGGTGAAACTAAAACATTTCCTTGTGAAGTTCATGATGGAGAATATTGGCAAGGCAAATTTATCTGTATAGCACAATTCAGTACAAAGACAATGCAAAGTTCTTTACATGATTAAAATACAGGAAAATAAAACAGAATCAAAGCAAGTAGGAAAAAAAATTAAAAATAAAATAAACTAAAAAATGCAGAAACAAAAAAGAATATTAAAAACAGTTGGACTAAAGAAAAAAAAAAGTTGAACCAATGATGTTTCAGTTGAACAGTTTAACTAGAACAGTCGAAAGCAATCCTAAACAAATGTGTTTTTAGTCTTGATTTAAAGGAACTCAGGCTTTCCGCACTTTTACAGTTTTCTGGAAGTTTGTTCCAGATAAGTGGAGCATAGGAACTAATAGCTGCTTCTCCATGTTTAGTTCTGGTTCTAGGTATGCAGAGCAGGCTGGAGCCAGAAGACCTGAGTGGTCTGGAGGGTTGATACACTGATAGCAAGTCTGTGATGTATTTAGGTGCTAAGCCATTCAGAGATTTATAGACTAACAGAAGTATTTTAAAGTCTATTCTCTGAGATACAGGGAGCCAGTGTAAGGACTTTAGAACTGGGGTGATGTGCTCTACTTTCTTAGTCTTAGTGAGGACACGGGCAGCAGCGTTCTGGATCAGCTGCAGTTGTCTGATCCACTTTTTAGGCAGACCTGGGAAAACATCTTTGCAGTAATCAATTCTCATGGAATTTCTCATGGAATTTTTCCAGATTAGGGCTGCAACTAACGATTATTTTAAAAATCGATGAATCGGACGATTATTTTTTTGATTAATCGATGAATCGGACAAAAAATATTTTTTATATTAACCTCTTTATTCCAAAATAAACATTTTAGACAGAACAAACAAGCACACAAGTACAGGTTGCTCATTAACTGTCCTGGTTCAATATGAAAAATAAATGTTTGTGTTAAAACTTACATGAGAAATGTAGCTGTACATCCACAAAATATAGGGTACTTTGTTTCATAAAGCGCAAAAAAAGACATTCTTGTTTTTAAAAGCCCCTAAGGGGTTCAAACAATAGGCCCCCCCATTTCAACAAATGAGTTTTTTTTAGACTAGAAGAGTTCTGCCTTTTAAGACAGGAAAGTATAGCAGTTAAAGTTGCTACTTGAGAAAATACTGAACCATAGAGATAAAAATAGCCCTGTGATTCATATTATAAATTGTATTTGGAATAAAAATGAGAGAACTAGGGGTGGTAAAAAAACACATCCTCCAAAGACAGATATTTACATGGGAATGTGGCAGATAATTAATTGACATATTACTGATCTTGCTGGATTTTATTCTGCTTTACTTCCATAAATTGCAGGATCTTCTTTACTTTATCTTTGCCAGAAGATTTAAACTTTAAAAGCCTTGCCCTCATAATTTGCAAGTTAATTTATTTATAAAGTAAATGTAAACGCTGCTTAAGCTAATTCAAATGAAATTAAAAGTAAAATAAGTAGCCAACCTTATCACTGTCTGTAACCTACTAACAAGGTAAGGAAAGCATCAGAGGAGCTACCTGAGAAACTAACGTAACGTTTCCCCACTTTAAAACCAAACAAACATGGTGGTTCCGTGCCATGTTAATTTCTTTTGAAAAAAGTTGCATGTTACGACTTTTTTCGCTTTACAAAGCGCAGGCTATTTTAATTATTGTGATCAATTTGCGCCGTCAATCCCGGTGCATGCGCGCTTCATTTGCAGTCTGGACGCTGAGGCTCTGACTGCAGCGCTGAGAGGGACTCCTGCGGGAAAACGCGGTTGGGGTGGGGGAGGCGCCCCACGGCAGAGTAGGAACGATACATGCTTTCACGTAAGAGTCTCCAAAAGCCGCCAGTGACACCGAAAAAAGTCGCCAGATTTGTCGCTAGTCGCTTTTTTGAAAAATAGTCGCTGGAGGGGTCTGAAAAGTCGCTGAGTTGGCAACACTGCACCTGCGGCGCTGACTCGCTCTGCCATATTTTTTTTTTCTTCCTCTTTCAGTCAAGAGGCAGTGATGACGGCGCGGCGGATGACGCAATAATCGCGCGACACAACTAATCGATGATGAAATTCGTTGCCAACGCTTTTAAAAGTCGATTTTTGTCGATTTTATCGATTCGTTGTTGCAGCCCTATTCCAGATCATGCTGAGACATTAGTCCTTTGACGGAGAAAAGGTATTTTTTTCTGTCTTAAATGCAAATATTTTTACATTTCTTCACAATTATGGTATAGTTACTGCTCTTAGTGGGTTGCTCTCTTAGCTAAAGGCACCTTTTAGAAGCTCTATACTCCAGTTACGGTTCATTGATTGCTGAATTAGTTGACAATTATTTTAATAATCAATTAATCACAATAAATCCGATGAATTGTTTCAGCTCTGGTTTTAATCCAGCTTCCTCATGTTACATATTTAAGTGTCTTTGGGCAAAGCACTTGACTCCAGGTCACCTACCTGTCTTCTCATTAGTGTTGTAGCAGGTTTGTTTGAGAGTGCAAAGGCTCGCTAAAGAGCAGGAATGCCTGATATGAAAAAATAGGGCAATATTATCCCGCATTGATATTTCTAATATGACGGATAACCAATATTTGCGTTTTTGTACATTTTCCTTCCATTTTTGATCCATGAAAAAGGACCACACTCTTCTTCAACTATTAACCCACAATCCCTTGCTGCATCACCATCACTGTCACATGGTCAAAAAAATACCATATGCCCCTCTAAGGAAACGTTGTCAGTAATATTTCAATATCTCTATACTTTTATTCATTAAGCTGGTGAAGAGTCTCAGTCATCCAGGTCATAGTCATTCCAAACAAGTTATAAAACAATCCACTGGACTTTGTTTTCCAAGTTTTAAGATGTTTCACTTCCCACTGAGGAAGCTTTTTCAATTCAAAATGTAAGAAACAGTGTTGAGTTCGAGGCATTAAAGAGTTGACCAAAAACAAAGCCTTGTTTTGGCTTAGAAAACATGCAAATTGAACCGGACGAATGGGTCCAACCCTTAAGAATGGGGTTCGTTCCAGTTCTTTGTTAGCCTGCAATACCCTGATACCAGTCTATGTCTCTGAACCAGGTATGGGGTAATGCAGGCTAACAAAGAACTGGAACGAACCCCATTCTTAAGGGGTGGACCCATTCCTCCGGTTCAATTTGCATGTTTTCTAAGCCAAAACAAGGCTTTGTTCGGCTACTATATAAAGTGGAGGTCTTCTACAGGGGGTCCGCAACTCCTAGGGGGTCCACAGAGGTTCTGTGTAGGGGTTTCGAAAGTTTTGGTTGATGAGATTAGTTGATTTATTTATTTTTTTGTATTCCCTCCTGCAATTTTTTTTCTACTAATTGAAATGTCTTTAAAAAATACATTAACATGAATTCCACACACTGTAGTAAACGGGTAAATGGAGGAAGAAGATGTCTTTCAGTCATCAATGCACACATTCAGTGACACACAGGAGCTCTTTCAAGCTGCATGGGCACCGTTTCATTCACAACACCTGAACCATCAACCAGGAATCACAATCAGAAATACTTTAATAATCCCAAGGAGAAGTTCCTTTCGTTACATTACTCCGTCTTTAATAGAGTGACTATAGGACCAGTTTGATATAACACAATTTTATAAAAAATTATATAATTGGGGGTCCTAAATATAAAAGATAAAGCATCAAGTATAAAAATATAAAGCCTCAAACTCATTGCTATTTCTGACATTTTGAATTGAAAAAGCTTCCTGGATGGGAAACAAAACGTCTTCAAACTTGGAAACAAAGTCCAGTGGATTGTCAGTATTTTCCACTGATGTCTGGAAAGGTCCCAGATTGTATTGTCTGATGAATAGGGGATAAAATGTTGTGTATCATTAGGTTTTATTAGATCTATATTTGAGTTGTAGAAGAAGAATTGGTGAAAGGCTTTGTTTGGAATGTTTAAAGCTTAAAACTAGAAAAGCTTTACTCTTCAGGCTTTAAACAAGCTTTAAAATGGTTCCTGTTGGTCTTTGTTCCCCTGTTCTCTCAGAAATGGTGGAGTCGATGAAGAAGGTGGCCAGCATGGATGTGGAGCTGACCGTGGAGGAGAGGAACCTGCTCTCTGTAGCGTATAAGAATGTGATTGGAGCCAGGAGAGCGTCATGGAGGATCATCAGCAGCCTGGAGCAGAAGGAGGAGAACAAAGGGGGCGAGGACAAACTAAAGATGATCCGGGAATACAGGAAAACGGTTCGTCTGGGTCTTTTTCTTTAATCTTCAAAGTTCAGAGGTATTCCTAGGACCTCGGCTAGAACTGAATATGCAATTTAAAAACAAACCTTATAAGAGTTGGTTGGTTTTAGTTAATAGTGCTAGACTTGATCTGACCTTAGATCATCATTCTTGGACTGATGAAACCACAGATTCCAACAGCATTGCATGTATTGCCAATAACTCCCCCATAAATAAAAACGTTTTGCTTTGTCTGTTCCTAAACAGAGCTAAAGTGTTTAAGATTTACTAGAGTTAAATCAAGTCTTAAAGTTGTAGGGAAATCATATTTAAATGTCAAATTATTCATCCTGTTTGGTTTTTTCATTATCTTATGGAGGCCGGTTAGTTATACTTCAGCTTTTACACCTAAATTCGGCTAATCATATATATCAACAACCATCTGTCAATCACATTTTTTTTGGTAATCGCATCTTGATACATATACTAATATACGCAACAGTTGGAATAAGAAAAAGAATCCTTTCCTTTCCCATTGAGTTCCGTCCCAGTGTTCACGGGGATGGACGTCTGTGTCTTCAGCAGGCGTAGAGCTAACGTAACTGGCAGCGTTGCGAGGCAAGGGCTCAAACATGTACGGCTGGAAGCCTTCTACACCAAACCAAGCTTCTGCCGCCCTGGCGTCCTCTTCCACAACATCTTCGTCCCCGCTTTCCTCCTCTAAATAAAAAATGGATGACGGAGGAGACTCATCCACGACCTCCGACACTAAACTCTCCTCCTCGTGCATGTTTCCGCTGTCCATAGCGTTCCTTGACAGTGTCGTTTCTAAGTCACCAATTTAGTGCTACTTGGTCCCAATGGAATTTCCCATTGGGAGCCTACTAGCACTAAGTTGCTAACTGGTTAGCAAGATGCTTCCGAGACACCGGCCACAACCCAACTTGCTTGCGAACCTTTCGTCCCAACAATCCCGTCCCCTTGATAAACGACCAATTTCACTTTATTCAGTCGTGTAAAGTCTTGCACCACTCAGGAGAATTCGGAAATGCAGCGGTTGGAACGCCGCTTCACTACGACTTTAAACATTTAGATTTACCTTAAATCGGATGATACATATGATATATTGCATTCAGCAGCCATGCCTTAACTTCACATGAAGTGCATGTGTCTCCACTCCCTCCATTTGCTATCTAATGTTAATGTTCCTCTTTGTTTACACTGAAACTTAAATAGCATTTTTTTCATTTTATAATTTAAGTGATGTTAGTGGAGGAAGAAAATGCAACATCGTCCTGAAGAATCCCCCAAAATTAGCCGACTTTACTGACTTTACATAGCTTGAAGAGACCTGACTCCAGCTGCAGACTGAGGGAGGGAAGATTTAAAGTCTGTTACTGTGGGTTAAAGACCAGCTCTAAAGAAGAATCTTCATGGGAACCTTCAGGGATGACAGATTCACACTCCTCCTCTACAGAGCTGAGCTCTCATCGGTAACCTTAACAACGGACTGCAGTGATTGTGTTTTTGTTTCTACCCGCAGGTAGAGAAAGAGCTGAAGTCGATCTGCAACGACATTCTGGACGTTCTGGACAAACACCTCATCTTAGCCGCAACCACAGGAGAATCCAAGGTTTTCTACTACAAAATGTACGGATCCAGGGAATGCATATTAACACTAACTTTAATTTAACTTTATTTTGAATGAAAGTTTCCTCAGTTAGATTCAGTCTCCTGATTTCTCCAAGTCTCCCACTCAGCATGTGTTTATACTCTTCCTGTCTAGGAAGGGAGATTACCACAGGTACCTGGCAGAATTTGCCACAGGCAACGACAGGAAGGAGGCGGCAGAGAACAGTTTGGTAGCTTACAAAGCTGCAAGCGACATCGCCATGATCGAACTCCCTCCGACGCACCCCATTCGTCTGGGTCTGGCCCTTAACTTCTCAGTTTTCTATTATGAAATCCTCAACTCGCCAGACCGGGCATGCAGGTACAGCTCCACAGGGGTTAGCTGGAGTTTAAGGTTAACATGAAAGAAGAAAGAGGTGATTTAAATTGTAGACGATCCTCATGAGGGGGGGGATGTCTTTTGTCTCTATTTGATGTCTAAGAAAAATAATCTTCAGAGTTAGAGGTATGTGGGTATTATTCTGTCCATGACTAAAATTAGCATCTTTGATCCATTTTTCTCTTAATGTAATCATTTCTGCTGCATTACTTTGCTCTATTTCCATCTATCTCCTTTGTTTCGCCCTGACTTTGGCAGGTTGGCGAAGGAAGCATTTGACAACGCTATTGCAGAACTGGACACTCTGAGTGAGGAAAGCTATAAAGACTCAACACTTATCATGCAGCTGCTACGTGACAACTTGACACTATGGACCTCAGACGTTCAAGGAGAAGGTGAGACACCCTATTTTGTGATAAGACCCCGTTCTGCTGCACATCTACCATCAGTTCAGCCTCTTTTATTCCAACTACATCTGAGTGGTCGCTACCATCTTGTTCTCGCCGCATCGTTTCTAAATTCTCTGACTGTAACCATAAAAAGTTTAGCCAGAAACTTGAATTCTCCTTCCCGTTTTTCAGTCTGTCTCCTCTAACTCTCATCTCACCCTCATCAGATTAAGGACCTTCTTCTTCTGTCCCTCTTCTCCGTTATAACCGTGTATTTAGTAAGTCATCCCTCCTTTCTTTGGGCTGCTCCATATCTGTCACTAACCACCCTAACGGCTCTGCCAGCACCTTCCTCACAGCATCCAATCCTGTGATGCCTCCCTGCCACTCTACCTCCAGGATACCATGGATGACGTCATGGCAGTGTGGGAAATTGTCATGAAAACTGTAGGACTAGTTACGCTCGACTATGAAGGCTAAAATATACGTTATTGTTTTGTTTCTCATCCTTACTCTTATATTGAACTGATTATTTCTCATTTGACATTATAATGTATTGCCAAGCGGCACATCTTTGGCCTTTCTTTGTAAATCCTTATCTATCTTTAGTTAAAAAGGCTCATTAATTTGAGATTTCTTTTCTATTTCTGATTTGGGGAATATCCCATGGAGGTCCCATAAACTCTTTTTTTTCTCCTCCACCCAGTCGGAGGTTCTAACCAGCACCTTTTAAAAGCTTTTGTTTAAACCATGATGGATTCCAGCCCTTTGTTATCCAAGCCTCTATAAAAGATCTTCATTACACTGGTAGTTGTACTGTCTCCGCAGCAACCACTTGCTCTGTTTCACAATGCATTTTACCTCCTTACTAAATCTACCACCCCCCCCCCCCCCCCCCCCACACACACACACACACACACACCTTCCCCCTCTGCATGGTGACACACTGTCAGCTGTGGTCGCACCACTCTGTTTGCAACAGCTTGACTTCAATCAAGAATCTTCATCCTGAAGCAGAAAATAATGCAGAAATTGTGTGTATTTCTATGGTCGCCAACACCATAGTGCATGTTGACATTAGTTAGAGCACCCATGTATTTATATATCTTCTTCTATTGACTCTGACGGTCTGCAGTGATGGCTGTGGCGGATGGTTTGTTTTGATTTTATTCTAATGCCAACCCTGATAATGAATTTAAAATACTTCTCGTCATACATGATACTTCATCTGGTAATAAAAGGATAACTAGCTTGTGTTGTTTTTTTTTTTTTGTTTTTTTTTTGTTATTTAAACAGTCCGATGGAGCCAAGATGATTGTTATAGAACAGCTATTGCTTGAAAGCTTTTAGAAGTTTAATTAAACCTTCCATCCTATTTATCTATTAGCTTAGATTGAGGTCTACATCTATAAACAACAAAGTCATTGGTAGGTTCTGGTCCCTTATGATTTATTTGAAATGGCTTGAGATAGTTGGAGTATGTAGTTTAGGATGGGGAAAGTTTTTTGGCTTCTGGCTGGGGACCATTTTGCAATCCAGCAAACAAACTATTTGGAGAAATCAAGAAAGGCTAGGCTCTCACATTTCAGTCTTTGCAAAAGGGAAAACGCGTTTCAGTGACCTATCAACCACGGTAGGATAGTCATTTATTACTTGGACGGAGGAAGAGCCTCTTTGTTCTGTTTCATTTCCTTGGTTGTTTTTTAATATGACACTACTATAAGGTACATCGTAAAATAGTGTTAGAAATATATTTTTCTCTTTTGATTGGCCAATCTGACACTTTGAAAGTCACTAGTTTAGTTTAAAACAAATGGATAAGTTTCCAACAACTGCTTTAAATATTTAATATAAGCAGATGTTCTGTCTTAAAATAAAGAAAATTCTGGAGAACCCTGCATATCCTCTTTAGAAGACCTTTAAGCAACAACAGAGGGTCTTCAGTCAGAGGCCTCTCCAAATCCACTACAGGAGATCCTTCCTTCCCATAGCTATCAGCGTCTACAACGACACTCAGAAGATTTAAATTCCCCTTTAGGATTAAAGAAGAATTTTTAAAAACTAAATTAACATATACCATTCCAGATTTTTACATGTCATGTCTTTTAGCATATGCTATGCTATGCTATATAATGGCTGTAACGCTACACAATGCTAGCAAACCTTTGGTATGTTTTTGTTAGCAAATGCTATGCTGCTATACTATGTTAGCAAACCTTTGGTATGTTGTTGTTAGCACATGCTATGTTGCTACACTATGTTAGCAAACCTTTGGTATGTTGATAGCACATGCTATGCTGCTACACTATGTTAGCAAACCTTTGGTATGTTGTTGTTAGCACATGATATGCTGCTACACTATGTTAGCAAACCTTTGGTATGTTGTTGTTAGCACATGATATGCTGCTACACTATGTTAGCAAACCTTTGGTATGTTGTTGTTAGCACATGATATGCTGCTACACTATGTTAGCAAACCTTTGGTATGTTGTTGTTAGCACATGATATGCTGCTACACTATGTTAGCAAACCTTTGGTATGTTTGCGTATTCTCTCCCATGTCAGAATGCTATGCTGTTGCTTTGCTAGAATATTGGTATATGGCGTGTCTATTGAGCTTTACTATGGCTATATTTATCATATAATTAGCTAGCATTTTGTATGCCTATTAGCTTATGGTGACCTATATTATGGCTCTAAATGTGTGATGTAAGTGTTGTGTTGTTAGGATATGCTATGTTATGCTTTTGGTTGGCCATGTTTTCAGATATGAAATCCTATGTTAGCATGGCCTGTGGATGTTAGCACATCAGGTGCTATGTTAGAATGCTAAAACGTTGTCTATATTGTGCTATGTTGGCATATGCTGTGTAATGCTAATATAACAGGTGACTGTATGCCAGGCTAACACCATTCTAATTATAGTTTGCTTTTTTTTTTGTGAAAAAAAAATTCAGTTTTGCTGCAGACTTGACTTCTAAAGTTATTTTTAAATTTCTGCTGCTGGCTTTCATGTGATCCTGCACAGACTGCTGGCTTTAAAGCTGTCATCATGATGCTCTAAGATTATTCTAATAAACAAGAAAACATTTTGTTTTTTTATTACTTTATTGATTTAATCCTGCAGCGTGATGCATTCTGTATGGATATGGCTCTGGTTCTTGATCACTTGTCAACAAAAAATCATAATGTGCTCAGATTGCAGCAACATTATTAATCGCTCTGTTTGTTCCTCATTTCAGGTGAAGAACAGAAAAAAGAAGCGCAGCAAGATGCGGAGGAAGAAGCCCAGTGAGACTGAACAACTCAAGACAAACCTTCCTCCTATTTTTCTCGTCCCAGCACTAGCTCCTGTCCCATGCCACAGTTTCCAGCGGGGTTCAGCCCACTATCTTCCTCTACCTTTCGCCTCACTTCTACCTGCCTTTCTCACCCTTCTTACATGTACGCCAGCTCCCTGTCTCCCAAGGGTCCACTCAGGCCCTCATATCCACTCCCCCGGGGTTTTACCTTTTCTCTTACTCCTCCTTCAAGCACCAAACCGTTGAAAGTTGCAGTCCTCTGCCACTGTTTTTATTTCGCTTTACTTTGCTGCATCATCTGTTGCCAAGTCTGCTTGCCTGTATTTGTAACATACATATGCAAGGGTTTATTTAAAGATGAAACTCGGTTGTTTTTTTTGTTTTGTTTTTGTCCTGTGTATGTGTGTTCAAGATGTGCATCGTTTCCATGCTGTCAGTTTGAAATGCTTCAGTCCCCATAATTAGTGAGTACAGCAATGGTGGAAGATGAAAAGCAGCTTTCAGTTTTAACAAAGTGCCCTATAAATCTGCTCCTCTTACATATTGGTGTCTCTTTTAGAGACGAACATCAGAATGTCCCCATTAAATCATCTCTGTCATCTTGTCCTGCCTTGGAGCAAGAGTTGTGCTGTGAGACTATAGTGCTTTTGCTAAAGTTACTTATTTAGGTAATGGCTTTTTAACATAGAAAATGTGTGAGAGAAGACCGCCCAGCACTCTTTGATTACTGCAGTTTGCATTAGAAACAGTTTGGGAAAATGGGGGCATTTATCCCCCCGTCATCCCTGAGTCTTTCAGGTTTCTTCATGTCATCATTTCCTCTCATTTCTTCTCCTCCTTCTGTTGGGTATGTGTAACGTGAATCTGATTTGTACTACTGGATATTCTCACCGGAGCCATAAGTACCATCTGTATTCTTTCTGAAACACAGCATGGAATAACATTAAACTTCAAACTGAAAACTTCAAGCAGAGCTGTGTGAGATCATGGTGTCCTTTCCTTCCACATTCTCTGTACTTTAAAAACCTACCACTAGAGGGCGGTGGCGTCCTTGTTAAGATTTAAGAATTGACTTGTATTGCTCTGAATGTAAAGAGTTATCCTTCGTTATATGAGAGTATTTTAATAGTTTATATCCTAGATTAATTCTACAGAAAGTGGTACATTTAGTGGAGGATTAAGTTATTAAAGGCCAAGAGCTACAATAGCTTAGAACAGAGTGCAAAAGTTTAGCTTATTCCCCTTCACAGGTTGATGATTTTGTTGATGGGGTTGCTAGTTCTCTGCGTATTGCCTTAGACAACGCAGCTCCTTTGAAAATGAAAACCGTTAAAAATAGAAAGCTTGCTCCTTGGTTTAATGCAGAGCTGCGTACTTTGAAGCAAAATGCTAGGAAACTGGAGAGAAAATATCGCTCCACAGGCCTGCGAGAGTCCTTCCTAGTCTGGAAAAATGGTTTACTGCTGTATAAGAGGACCCTTTGTAAAGCAAGAGCAGCATACTTCTCCTCATTAATAGAGGAGAATAAGAATAATCCTAGATTTCTTTTTAATACAGTTGCCAAACTCACCCAGAGCCATAGCTCTGTTGAACCGTCCATTCCACCTGCTCTTAGCAGCAATGACTTTATGGGATTCTTTATAAATAAGATTGATCTTATTAAAAATAAGATCATAAGCACTCCTCTATCCGCGATTGTACCTGAGGTAGTCATGGAATCTGAACTGGGTTTAGACTGCTTTGATCCAGTTGAACTCTCTGAATTAGCAAAATTATTGTCTTCATCTAAGCCTTCAACTTGTATGTTAGATCCAGTTCCAACCAGGTTATTTAAGGAGGTATCCCCTTTGATCTCCTCCTCCATTTTAGATGTGATTAATCTATCTCTGTTACAGGGATATGTACCTAAAGCTTTTAAGGTTGCTGTAATTAAACCTCTGCTTAAGAAACCGTCTCTTGACCCAGATGACTTGGTCAATTATAGACCTATATCCAATCTTCCTTTCTTATCCAAAATTCTTGAGAAAGTAGTTGCCAAACAAGTTTGCGATCACTTCCACCATAATGAACTTTTTGAAGAGTTTCAGTCTGGCTTTAGAGCTCATCATAGCACTGAAACAGCTCTGGTGAAAGTCACTAATGATATTCTCATGGCCTCATATAATGGACTTGTATCTGTGCTCGTCCTGTTGGATCTTAGTGCTGCATTTGATACAGTTGACCATAATATTCTTTTAGAAAGACTTGAATATTTTGTTGGAATTAAAGGAACAGCACTAGACTGGTTTAAATCTTATCTATCTGATCGAATTCAGTTTGTTCATGTTAATGATAGATCTTCAACACGCTCAAAGGTTACCTGTGGAGTACCACAGGGATCAGTGCTAGGACCAATTCTCTTTACTTTATACATGCTCCCAATTGGTAGAATTATTAGACAGCATGGGATTAATTTCCACTGTTATGCTGATGATACCCAGCTATATCTGTCTATAAATCCAGATGAAGCTAACCCATTACATAGATTACAGGCATGTCTTGAAGACATAAAAACCTGGATGACTCTTAACTTTCTGCTTCTGAATGCAGACAAAACAGAAGTTATAGTCTTTGGACCAGAGTCTCTGAAAAAGAAACTGATTAGCCAGTCACTTCATTTGGATGGGATTAAACTGATTTCAGATAATAAAGTAAAAAATCTTGGTGTTGTTTTTGATCAGGACCTGTCATTTAGGTCCCATATCAAGGAGGTTTCTAGAATTTCCTTCTTTCATCTGAGGAACATTGCAAAAATTAGAAATATCCTGTCCAGGGGTGATGCTGAGAAACTAGTCCATGCATTTGTTACTTCAAGGCTGGACTATTGTAATTCTTTACTATCAGGAAGTCCACAAACTGTAGTTAAAAGCCTTCAGCTGATCCAAAATGCTGCAGCCAGAGTTCTAATGAAAATTAAAAAGAGAGATCATATCTCGCCTATCCTGGCTTCTCTTCATTGGCTTCCTGTTAAATCAAGAATAGAATTTAAAATCCTCCTTCTCACATATAAAGCCTTAAATGGCCAAGCTCCATCTTATATCAGAGATCTGATTGTTCCTTATGTTCCTAACAGAGCACTTCGCTCTCAATCTGCAGGTTTACTAGTGGTTCCTAGAATTTCTAAAAGTAGAATGGGAGGCAGATCTTTTAGTTATCAGGCTCCTCTCCTGTGGAACCAACTACCAGTTTTAGTCCGTGAGGCAGACACCCTGTCTACTTTTAAGGCTAGGCTTAAAACTTTCCTTTTTGATAAAGCTTATAGTTAGAGTGGCTCAGGTTATCCTGAGCTATCTCTATAGTTATGCTGCTATAGGCTTAGACTTTTGGAGGACATAGGGACCCCCATTTCATCATTCTGCTTCATTCTCTCTCTGTTCTCCTATTCTGCAGAATCTGTTAGTTCAATCTCTAACCTTCTGCTCTCTCTGCTTTTCCTCAGAGTAGCTTTGCCTCGTCTGTTCCTGTTTGGCTGTGACGTCATCCTGGAAAGAAACATCAGCTGTGCTGCTTCTATCAACACCCTTGTTTATAGATGTTGGAGATCGGCCTGTTTTCCAGTGTGGTCCTGTTTCTCTGACCGTGACTGAGTGGATGTGCTTTCTTCGTCCTCTGGCATGGGAGCTGCCTTGGAGCTCGTCTGCCTGGCTGTGTGTTTCCTGGACGGGGCCGCCTTTTACAGCTGCTTTTTGTATCTCTGCTTCTGTCTCCTTGAACCCCAGTCGGCCTCGGCAGATGGCCGCTCACACTGAGCCTGGTTCTGCTGGAGGTTTCTTCCTGTTAAAAGGGAGTTTTTCCTCTCCACTGTCGCTACAAGCATGCTTAGTGTGGGGGATTGTATTTGAGTCAATGAGTCAATGCAATCAACTGGTTTTCCTTAGATAGAAAACTTTGTATCAATTTGATCTGGTTGAACTGTAAAGTGCCTTGAGATGACATGTGTTGTGAATTTGGCGCTATATAAATAAACTGAATTGAATTGAATTGAACAACAATATCAAATCCAATTGACAAGGGATATGAACACATTTTTACTTTTGTAAAGAATCTAAGTACAGTGGATGTTCACATGTTGAGTAGAACTGCTCGTTTTGATCAAAAGTTTGACTGTAGTGGAGAAAACTTTCAAAAAAGGTGCATATGCTCTACTTAAATGGTGCCCTGAAAAGAAATTGGTATCAGAAAGATGAGAATTAAAATTAAACCGTTGTTCCAAATGATGCCGGAAGACCCAGCCACCAGTCAGCTCCAGGAGGATCATCAGAGATGGTCAAGTAGTAATATAAGTTATGCAATTAGAGATGACTGTGGAGGTATAAACAGTGTGTCGACAAGAGGCTCACACAATGTCCCACTGATGAAAAACATGAGCTAAAGAAATGCAACATTTTAAGGACTGATAAAGGGAAGGCTGATCTTTGGGGTTTGGATAACTCTCCAGAGTTCATGTCACAGTACACAAAGGCACAATGCCTTGGGACTGTTTCACGTACTGTTGTCTGGTCTATCATGTACTGTGATAGAAGACTAATGTTATGAAGATTCAGCTTAGGTCTTAAACATTCCTGTTGAAGAGAGGAAAAAATGCTCCTATTCAAATCTTTACATTTTTTTAAATATGAGATCTTTTGCATTCTTTATTTGCAGGTTTCCAAAATATTTCTGAGAGCGAAATTGGCCCAGTTTATAATAAATTCAGCTCACAACTTGATTAATTTAAAGTTAACTTTTCTAGTTAAAATCAGTGTGTTCAAACATGCCACTCAAGTTCCTTTATGCCAAGATTATCCAAACAGTTTTAACCAACTATGGAAATCTGTTTTTAACCTGGGTTTAATCAACTGTCCGGCTACTTGCTTGGAGAGAGATAGAAATGTTTATGTCAATAAGATGCTGAGTTTCACAGAGAATTCTCATAAGGCGTCATGGAGGCAGTTGTCTATTTCTTGGTGTTAAAACTGGAACTTGTCCTAACTTAATTCTGCTCATGCAACCAATGAGCTGCTTGATGCTTTGCCTACACAGATCATTGGTCTGGGAAGCACTTTCCCTCCACCTAGTGGCTGCAGTGTGGATCATTTTTTGAAAATCACAGTGACTGCACACTGATCATAATGCACTTTTAGAAAGGCTTAAACATTTTGTAGGAATTAAGAGAACTCCACTATGCTGGTTTAAATCTTATTTAACAGATTGAAGTTGATTTTCCCACATGCTCCAGGGTTACCTGTGGAGTATAGATCAGTGCTAAGGCCCATTTTCTTCACTATATATATGCTCCCAATAGGTAGAATTATTAGACAGCTTGGGATTCGTTTCCACTGTTATGCTGATGATACCCAGCTATATCTGTCTATAAATCCAGATGAAGCTAAACCATTACATAGATTACAGGCATATTCAAGGACATAAAAACCTGGATGACTATTTAACTTTCTGCTTCGGAATGCAGACAAAACAGAAGTTAAAGTCTTTAGACCAGTCTTTTAAAAATAAGCTGATTAGTCATTTCATTTGAATGGGATTAAATTGATCTCAAAATAAAAATCCTTGCCTTTATGTTTGATCAGGACTTGTCATTAAAATTCTGCACCAGAGGGGTTTCTAGAAGCTTTTACTTTCATCTCCAGAATATTGCAAAACATAATAATCCAGAGTTTTTGCTGAGAAACTAGTCCATGCATTTGTTACTTCAAAGCTGGACTATTGTAATTCTTTACTATCAGGAAGTCCACAAACTGTAGTTAAAAGCCTTCAGCTGATCCAAAATGCTGCAGCCAGAGTTCTGATGGAAATTAAGAAAGAGAGATCATATCTCTCCTATCCTGGCTTCTCTTCATTAGCTTCCTGTTAAATCCAGAATAGAATTTAAAATCCTCCTTCCCACATATAAAGCCTTAAATGGCCAAGCTCCATCTTATATCAGAGATCTGAT